TCAGAGCTTCTGAATAGAGCCGACTTTCAAGAGTCGTGAGGAGCTTGGGATGTGCATACACACATACTGCAAGTGCACACACACTGATTCAAATCAAGCATGTGTAGCTGGCGGCAACACGAGGATGTGTGGGTATCAATGTCGCTCTTTTCTCTCTGCTGTCTTGAACATCCAACTGAGCACAAGCACACATAAACACAGTGTAAACAGTGGGATATAAATCATGGGCTGATCAGGATGTTGTGTGCTGATCACTGGTTTTGAGGATTTTTGCTAAAAATTAACAAGGTGCTGGAAACATTCCTCAGAGATGCTGTCGGCTGCATATCCATGATGTGAATCTCCTGTTCCACCACATCCCAAAGGTGCTCTATTGGATTGAGATCTGGTGACTGTGGAGGCCATTGGAGTACAGTGAACTCATTGTCATGTTCAAGAAACCAGTTTGAGATGATTTGAGCTTTGTGACATGGTGCGTTATCCTGCTGGAAGTAGCCATCAGAAGATGGGTACACTGTGGTCATAAAGGGATGGACACGGTCAGCAACAATACTCAGGTAGGCTGTAGTGTTTAAACCATGCTCAGTTGGTACTAAGGGGCCCAAAGTGTGCCAAGAAAATATCCCCCACACTATTACACCACCACCACCAGCCTGAACCGTTGATACAAGGCAGGATGGATCCATGACGCCAAATTCTGACCCTATCATCTGAATGTGGCAGCAGAAATCCAGACTCATCAGACCAGGCAATGTTTTTCCAATCTTCTATTGTCCAGTTTTGGTGAGCCTGTGTGGACTGTAGCCTCAGTTTCCTGTTGTTAGCTGACAGGGTGGCACCTGGTGTGGTCTTCTGCTGCTGTAGCCCATCTGCTTCAAGGTTGGACGTGTTGTTGGTTCAGAGATGGTCTTCTGCAGACCTTGGTTGTAACCAGTGGTTATTTGAGTTCCTGTTGCCTTTCTATCATCTTGAAGCAGTCTGGCCATTCTCCTCTGACCTCTGGCATCAACAAGGCATTTTCACCCAGAGAACTGCTGCTCACTGGATATTTCCTCTTCTTCGGACCATCCTCTGTAAACCCTAGAGATGGTTGTGTGTGAAAATCCCAGTAGATCAGCAGTTTCTGGCACCAACAACCATGCCACGTTCAAAGTCACTTAAATTACCTTTCTTCCCCATTCTGATGCTCGGTTTGAGCTTCAGCAGGTCGTCTTCACCATGTCTACAGAGCTATGAATATTATACACAATGTCTGCCAACTCATCTCCCTTAATCCTCCACACCAGACCTTCGAGAATGGCTCAAATTCTATGTCATATATTTCAGATTAGGAAAGAAAAGGGAAAAATCCCAAACAAATAATCTATCTCAATTGATTTTCTGTTAAAATCATGCCTTTAAAATGTTGAATGTGCGTGTATCTTGTGCCAGCTATGTTGGGAGCTGACTGTTGCTGTTAAGATGAATCTCCTGCTGAAATAAAATGTTGTGCCAAACAGAAACGCAGCTGTGAAGAGACACGAAGAGAAAAGCGCTTCAGACAGTGAAGAAGCTCCCCTCGACACAAAGGACAGTAACAAAACCCTCCAACATAATGGTCAAGACAAGACTCCTCTCTACAGCTGAAAATGTGTATTTTTAAGACTCAGACAGACACACAGGACATTCAAGGACAGTTGCCATGGTAACAGGAGCAGCAAATTCGTAACACGTGTGTGAAACTTAAGCGGGCGGACATGATTGCAGCGCTCTAATCACTTCAGCTGACGAGCACGTGCACGTACACACATGTCAACATGTGTGACTGTGAAAGACGTCTCTATAAAAATATGACAACATGTAGATGGTAACAGCCTCCACTCAGGCCTCACCACAAGACTCTGATGGGGTTTGACAAGCAGGCTGCAGAGGCGGTTAGACAACAGCGACATCTGGTGGTGACTCATGAGAATGATCGTGTTCTCTGCAGGCCATCATCCTCTTAACTGTTTGAGTTTGCAGGGCTTTTTCATGCAGGATATTTAGGCATGTCAGGGTAGAACAATCACAGATTCAAACTTTAATATTAATTATGCAGAATTTTATTTAACTAATTTAATTTCAGGGTGTTGGTATGCACATGCTGGCTCACTCTCATGGGTTACTGGCACACTACAATTTATTAGAAACGCCGGTGCTTTTCCTACAAAGTCAAAATATCTGTTGTGGAACAATTTTAAATTAACATGAATATTAATTGCAAGAAAAAGAAAGTTAGCAGCGAGAGCCCCAAGTGAACTTCTTGTTTAATCCTTGGAACAACATCACTTTTCTTGTGCTGCTTTTAGATGCCTTTTGCAAGTACTGAAACCTTTGAACCCTGGGAAAATTGGTGCGATTAAAGAAAATTATAATAATAAATGCAATTTATTTATTATATATTATATTTTTTAAATAAATCAATAAATTTAAAGATTTTTAAAAAAAATATTTTGAAAAAAGTGACAAAAGAAAAAGCTACTTTTATTACATTTTAAAATTATATTACATAATTATTTGAATTTTTAAGCACTCTTTCCAGGTCATTTGTGTTTTTCCATTTTTACATTTTTTTTCTTATTTTTTTAACTAACGTAATTAATTCTTTTTTATTTTTTAACATTTAATTCATTTTTTTAAATTTAATTTTAATTAATTTAATCTCTTTTTACTCATTTTTTTTGCTATTTTTTGGGGTCATTTCCTCTTTCATCGCTCGTCGCCTTCTTCCCATGTTTATTAAAAGAAATCAAGCCACTTGCTCAGGGTTTCAAAGGGTTAACTGTGGAGGTTCACTTACATTACAAACATCCCAAACAGCACGTGACTCACCTCTGGTGGAATCAAGCCGTGCAGAGTTTGTGTCATTTGCTCAGCTTTCTGCCTCCATCACAATACAATAACAGTAAATCCATTTCTGCAGCACTTCAGATATTACATTTGAAAAAAAAAGCAACCTTTGCAGCTCTCTACACTGCATCTTTTCCCACAGCAGATATTTGGAGTTGTCGCAGCAGGGAGAGCACAGGTGGAACTAATTTTGTTAACGATGGCTCAGCTCCATCAAGTATCTCAGGCCTGCCAGTGAGCCAGCATGCTCCCCACACACGCTCACCTAAATGGAATGCGGTTGACTTTAATGTTATCAATTACACCTGTGTTTTCCCTGCTATGACACGCCAACATTTCTGCTGTGTAGAAAAAAAAGGTTATTCGTCATGATTAGCTGTGATTAGTCTTGGTAATCAAAGAGCTTGCTGTGATTCATTCACAATAAATCCCCATGACAACTGTTCAGTGGATTAGACAGACTAACAAGGGCAGTGTTTCTGGAAAGATGTGTTCCTTCATGAGATTTTAGACATGTTCCATGGCTGCAGCTCAGAGGCCAGAAAGAATGTTGTCATCCTACGTTTTTGCAAGCCATGAAGACATTACACTTACACGTTTCATACCTTTCGTATCAACGTTTCTCAGGTGACAGAGTATATAAACTGACTTTGTTAGTGGGAGGTGGAGGGGATGGTGGATATAGCGTCACCTGAGTATGACGCCTGTCAAGTTGCAGGTCACTGTTCAAGACCAACAAACAACAAACCTTGTTGTGATTTAGCGAGTCATTGCTGTGTTTCCAGCAACTTTTCAGGCGCCAAACTTGGGTGTTTTGTAGCAACCTGTCCCGGTTTTTCCACTGAGGATTGTGACCCCTAAACCGTCTATTTTAAGCCAGAACATCATCTTTTCCCAACCATAACCAGGTGGTTTTTGTCCATCCATCCATCCACTTTCATCCGCTGATCTGGGGCGGGGTCACAGGGGCACCTGACCAAGCAAAGCACCCCAGACGTCCCTCTCCCCAGCGACGCTTTCCAGCTCCTCCTGGGGGACCCCAAGGTGTTCCCTGGCCAGATATGTAAACCCTCCAACGTGTTCTGGGTCTGTCCTACCAGTGGGATGTACCCAGAACACCTCTAACAGGAGGTGTCCACAAGGCATCCTGATCAGATGCCCTCAACTGACCCCTTTCAACTCGAAGGAGCAGCGGCTCTACTCCGAGCTCCCTCCAGATGTCCGAGCTCCTCACCCTATCTCTAAGGCTGCACCTAATGCTTTCAGTCATTCCCCATAGCCCATACCCATGGGTATGGTCATCTGTTGATTAGCTGCAGCGGCAACGCAGGAGTGTTTTCAGCTTGATACAATCACTAACCCCCCC